AACACTTCACGCTCAGGGCTAAATAAATGTAATCCCTCAGCTGGCGCTTCGGGATTACATATTAACACAAAACTCGTGCGCTGCGCGCACTCGTATGTGTTTATCAGATCATCCCGCTAGCGCGGGATGATCTGTTATATAAACCCTTTGCGTGGCGGGTTTATGTTATTGTAAACTGAAGACGTAAATAACACTTCACCCGCACACCTTCTCACACATTAATGACCATATCAGACCTGTATCTAATGTATCTGGAATTTGACGTATTGAAATACCAATTTTGACTATATATCCACAGTTATTCACCATGGATTTGTTTGTTATTAAATAGTTTTTCATAAATTTTTGGATTTAGATTAATTCGATGTAATGGGTCCAAGTTACTGCGGACATAGTTCACTATGTGTTTACCGTGTTTGGGTGCCCATCATATTTTACAGATGGGGGTGATATTTTGAACGATTCTATTTTATATTCATCTATTGCTGTACTCTGTAAAATTTGAAAAGTATTTAATAAAATTTTTTGAAGAACCTCTTACCCTGGTGGATAGAGACCGTTGTAGTTGGAGAACTGGCTCACGTCCGTAATGTCCAGTACACTGTCCACGCAGCTTCTTACCTCGACAGAAAACGCTTTCCTTACCTCACGGGGGTCCCAATCTAGCCCTGTAGCGTTCCATTTAATCCACCCTGAGGGGAAGGTTTTAGTAATCTAGCCCTGTAGCGTTCCATTTAATCCACCCTGAGGGTCGTGTTTTATCAGCTGCAAACTATAAAATTTGACACTGTGTTAGATATCCGTAATTCACTGTATTCTGTGAAGTATTTTTCAGTCACCTTATCGTAAAGCTACACTACCAGTGCATGTAGTGGCTTCGTTAGTTATAACAATAAAACAGTGGGAAAGGAAATTGGTATTTTCACGAAGTAACCGAAGCGTGCTTCATCATTGATGCCGTACGTGATGCCGTACGTGATGCCGTATGTGATGTTATTAATTAGATTACAGTGTCCAATAAAGCTTTTTGAAAGTGAAAATCTTTTAATAAGTTGATTGTTTCTCTCAATTATAAGCTATTCATGCATCAATGTGCACAGAACTGTACTGCATCGGCTCTTTCGCTAAACCTTGCACAAGAAAATCCATCCAACAGACTAGGAAAGGTTACGATGACTGAGGCAAAAATGTAACATAAAACTTCGTCGCAAAACTTGCAGATTTAAGTGCACTAAACAGACCGATTTAAGTTTACTAAACTTTCCGAGTCACTTTAAGTGCACTAAACATACCGAGTTTATCAATGCTGTAAGACTTCTCATCATTAATCTGAACGTTGGTAAGCACGTCCTTGTTATTGTAACCCCCAAAGTACCAGCCGGAGAGGGAGAGACCCACTGGAGACCCTGTCTTGGATACCTTAACAATCATGTCACCCATCGTCGTGAAGTGAGACGCTCTGAAATGGAAGGTTTTGAATCAGGAACAGCATTATTTATCGACTGGTCTTGAAGAAAATGAATTTGGTTTTTAAGCAAACTCGGTGAGATTCTGTTCGTGCTTACGTTGAAAAGTTGCACAACTTACTCGTTCACTGGTCTGTACTCTTGCTTAATCAACGTTTTAGATTTTAAATCATATTCTTCTATACTCAGGTTGAATGTTGAGGTGTACGAGTTTTCTTTTATGTAGAATGCCTCATACATATGCTCAGTGAATTTGGATCCTGAAATGAAACATAGAATGAACTTCTCGATGCATGGTTAGTAACCATTGGTTACCCGCTTGCGCCGATAATAATGCATTAACATTTGACAAGGATGAGTTTTGACGATAACATTAATAAAACGTATATTTTCAATTCGGAATATTTCATTGCTCGTCTTGGAATTAATGAGTATCAAAATGAACAACATTTGCCGATGGTCTTTTTATTGATTAAAACAATGAAATTCAACAAACATTTCGTGTTTACCACTGACACAGGGTACATTATCCTCACCTACTATTGAACAACACACTAGTCCCTCATTTTGGAAAAGTCTAAAACAAGAGTTCTTGGTTCCTTTGCTGTGATTGGGCCAGGATTTCTCCACACAAAGTCCGTCCTCAGGTTTACACTTGTCTTTGTCTGCGTTGCATGTGGCTTGTTTTATTGAAGAGGGACAGTGACATGAACATCTTCCACTCAACTTCGGCTGTACAAACCTGAGAACAGTTCCAACTTTTCCAGTTACCAAAATTATAATCGATTATTAACATTGCAGATTGTGAGGCTTTTAATAAGCTCACTGTGGCTTGTAAAAGGGTTGGGCCTGGGAATCGGGGAAGGGCTGGTCTTAAATTGAAAAAGAAGCCTGTTAATTTGGCATCAGTAAATTTGACGAATAATTACTCTGATACTGAAATAGCTAACAGCTAACATTTGAAATCGGTTCAGATCTGATTAGTGTATTCCACTCACATGTATCCACATGTATAATGTATAATGTATAATGTATAATTTATAATGTATAATATATAATGTATAATGTATCCACATGTATAATGTATCTAAAAGGGTTCAGACCTGTACTTCTTATCTCTGTACTCGAACTTAATCACTTCTTCAATGAGGGTGTATTTTATCAGGGACATCTTTCCTGGAAGAAATTTTACTTTAAGATGAGTGAGATTGTCGGCTGGGTGGTGTAGTGGTAACATGATCGCCTCCCAAGCAGAAGAACAGAGTGGCTTAGGGTTACTGAAAAGGAGATAAGCACCTCAGGCCATCTCAACTTGTGGGAGAGACCTGCCCTTGTTGTTGAGTGAGATAACCATGCCTTATGTTTAATTTTTCAACATCGATATAATTGCACTCCGCCCAATATGTAAATTATAGGAATTATACTTATCGCTATAAAAGAAATTAAACGTATCTCTCACCATCTTCTAGGACAGATTTCTTTGTGAAACATAAGGATTGTCCACTTTTCAGCCCAGCTTCAATAGCCATAGCGTAGCTGGTGACTAGCCTCCCGGCGGAAAGTTTTTCCAGGGTTATAGGCTGATCTGAGATCTGGAAAGTAGTGTGGTCCCCACAGAAGGTATAACATAGTCGGGGGAGTAGAAGCCAATTTAGTAACACCAAACTATCTGATAGATACAGGTTATGGTTACTAAAAATGAAGATTGTGAATCGAGCCCTGAGTAAAATCTTTATTACCTAATTAAATTATTTAATCCACATCACATGCAATTGAAGTGCAAGTTGATCTGGTGGATTCACTAAGTTTGGCTAAACCTATTGGATCAATTTAAATTGATTTTATTTGAATAAAATTAACTTAACTTAAACCAAATAAATTTTCGATTTCTAGTATCGATCTATAATATCGAAGACGAGAACCATATGCTCCATTCCTGCCCCCTAGGGAAAGTTCCAAGGGACAGATTTCAAAGCCTCAGTGGAAATCTAGTCAGCATTGACGGAAATGGTAGCTTCAATCTTGCCTCCACGTTTATCTCGCAACCCGATTGCATGGACAAACTCAGCGATGAGGACGTAAGTTTGATCAAACTCTCGACCAGCACCATTAATAAAATCTATAGACTAACCCTCAACTTCAAAGAAAGTCTAAATGTAGATAACTAGCTTCCTCTTTCAGTCCTTCCTTTCTTCCTTTCTTTTTTTCCCCTTTTTCTTTCCGCCTTTTTTCTTTTCCAGCTTTGGATCTGTGACGGATGTGATGGATTTCTTGCGGTCACTTTTATCCCTACATGGGCTCCCGGCCGTGCGTCCATGTAGGAGCCGTGGGGCCTTCCGAGTGATAGGGTTACAGTGACTGTTAGTAGGGAAAGTATGAAGGCTATATCAGTAGACACAATTACCGAACGCAGGGCATTGGCTCGACCTCCAAGACAGGGTATCCGTGAGGACCCTGGTCGTAATCAGCTCTGCACTGCTCCAGTGTATCCTGATGCCTGAAATCTTGGACACTGCCTACGTACGGGGTAGACAGCCACTGATGATTTTGTCTGTGAGTTTTTCATCACTTCCTGACATGAGTCAGACCTCAGCTGGATCCTTCCTGTTTAGCTTTTTCTGAGCTTCCCGCTCGACCTCCTTCTTCAATCATCATCATCAGTTAGAGCTGCCGTGCTCTCGAACTTTCCCTTCACACTCCACCACGGCACCTCCTTCGAGGCCTCTTGCCAGGTAACACCAGCTCTCAGACATAGGCAAGCTTACCGCGCACGGCGTTTTTTCTTTTTTGTTTCGTCCTTTCCGTGTGTGCCGTTTTGTGCCACCCTCTCTGCTGTTCCTGCGCAATTGCGCTCATTCGCTCTTCATTGGGCTGTTCATTTGACAGAGTTACTGGCTGGCACTCCAAACATCTTCTCACTCACAATCACCATCAATCAAATTCAAAATTATGCAATCAATCACTATACATCCACGATCATATGATCAAAACACAAAACTTTGTTATATACTGTTTCTGTTTGAGATTTGAATAACGTTACTGTAATGTTTCAAATTATATTTTAAATGTTCAAATGTTCAAATGTTCAAATAATATTCAATCCGAAAATTCCAATTATATTTGCTCCGGTGATTCATGGCCTAGTGCCTGATCGTCTGGCACTGTGCCAATAATAGGATTTCCTACTTAGACCTTGTCTATGTGTGTGTTTTTTGAAGAATCTGCTGTGAAGGCCATTCTGTAACTACGAAATGAGCTGTTTTAATCGAACTTAACTCACCTTGAAAAATGCCCATTACCGAGAAAGAAAACAATAAAAATGTGGCTCAACCTTACCTAGCTGATTCACAATTCATGATTTGGCCGGAAGCAATTTACAATTACATGATTTTAATCGAGGTCAGTTCGACCAGTCGTGCGGTCCATACTCACCTTAATTACCCGATCATTTCGAACTTGTACAATTTTGATATTTTCTGCATTACCACATTTAAACGTTTATAACGATTCTAAGCGACTCAGAAACAACTGCAATATAGTTAATATCAATTAAATACAAAATGTTCAAACTTTTTCCATCATCTAGTCCAGAAAATTAGACCAAACATAAGATCAAAAGACTATTAAATCCCTCAATCGAGGTAACATTAACTCGGTAACCGACAGCCGTTATATAATATAACTACTGTCTCAGTCTTACTAAGCCTTTCACTTGTTATAACAAACGTTAAAAAGATTTATTGAAACCTGATCATTAATAAGTTCGTAAAATTTTGTGCGAAACACCAGCTTTGTTATTGCACTGAATTAATATTATCGATCTGTTCAGTCAAAGCACAATTTAACACTCAATGTGATCACTAAACATGGAACTTTTTTTGCTGCTATTTTACATTTTAGAGATTTTACAAAATCATCACAGTTTGATTAGTTTTCATGGTGGATCTGAGCAGTGAATTTTAGCACTGGATAAAATAAGTCAAGAATGAATTAAGAATAACTCAAACATGACAGGGATCTCTCATCTTTTCTAGTTAACTAGTGTTACGTGTCAATATCACAATATCACGTGTCAATATCACGTGTCAATATCACGTGTCAATATCACAAACAGAAGAAACAGGTCCTGAATTGTTAGTGTAACTGTTATGTTCACTAGTGTTCACCGTTACACTGTTGTTGTAGCACGACCACACCTTTGAGTCGCAAGATTTGTCGTCGATGTCGTAGCCCACTCCCAGATTCAGCATCATCCGTACAAACTGCGGATGTTTGTTTGAAATCATTTGAAATTAGTCATCACCTCCCATCTCGACTACTCATCGTCATTAACTCATCTCCATGACTTTTTTACTCGTATTTAAATTATTATATTCGATCTTCTTTTTTTTTCGTGAAATTGTAACGCGGTTAATTTTTAAGATTTTATTTTTATAGCATTCTCTTGATTTTTAGAGTTCTGATCGTTTTTATGAATTGCTGTATTACCAAAACGAGTTCGTTAGTGTTCTCCTTGGTCATTTCATGTTTAATTCCTGTTTAATGTTTAATTCCGTACAAACTGCGGGATATTTGTTTGAAATCATTTGAAATTAGTCATCACCTCCCATCTCCTACTCATCGTCATTAACTCATCTCCATGACTTTTTTACTCGTATTTAAATTATTATATTCGATCTTTTTTTTCTTTCGTGAAATTGTAACGCGGTTAATTTTTAAGATTTTATTTTTATAGCATTCTCTCGATTTTTAGAGTTCTGATCGTTTTTATGAATTGCTGTATTACCAAAACGAGTTCGTTAGTGTTCTCCTTGGTCATTTCATGTTTAATTCCTGTTTAATGTTTAATTCCGTACAAACTGCGGAATATTTGTTTGAAATATTAAGAACGTCAAGGAGTTGTGATTTGCGAAGCAACTCGCAGCACGTTTTAGTTTCAGTAGGTAATTACCCTAAAACCTACAACATAAAGTTTAGAGATTGATGGTCAGGAAATTAATAAAACTTCAAGCTGTTTTTAAGGAAGCCGGGAATAGATCGTAAATTGGGGCTGAAATCAGCTGAAATTTCAATTTGGTTAAAAACTCTTACTTCCTTGTAGTCGATGAGGCCGTCTCCGTTCTGGTCAGCTACTCTGAGCAGGTCTGTTACTTCGTCTTGTGTTAGTTTATCTCCAACAGTGGTTACTTGGTGTCTCAGCTCGTCTGCACTGATGAACCCGTTCCTGTCACGGTCGAACACCCTAACAATTGTGGCAATTAGCCAGCGTTTAAGAAATAGACCATTAGACAAATTACAGAGGGCAATCGTTATGTTTATGACACAAACTTTGATAAGAATAATGTTTGTTAACAATAATAACTAACCGGAAGGCCTCGCTGATTTCAAAAGCCATACTTTCCCAAGTCATTCTCTTAGCCATGATCCTGATGAACTCCTCGAACTCTAACAAGCCGTTCTTATCTGAATCCACCTCGTTTATCATCTCTGCCAGGTCTGATTCTGTGGGGTTCTGACCTAGTGACCTGCAATTCGTTCATAAGATTTCTACAACCTTTATTAGTACAGGATGTAAGTATAACTATAAGTATAATATTCAATCCAAATTCAATCCTTGTATTCCTCTAGCAAATAATGCAATATTGCAAATCACGCCAACGGTTTTTCGTTAAGAAGTGTTATAAGAGCTTCGAAACGTAACGAGTCATCCCCACAGTTCTTACTCTAGCATAGTTATCTAATTTGTAGTACTAATACAATGTACAAGGTACAATGTACAAGGTACAATGTACAAGGTACAGTGTTCAATGTACAATGTACAATGTACAATGTTCAATGTACAATGTACAATGTACAATGTAATATACCTGATAAGCGCCCCCAGCTCCTTGGTAGTGATGTAGCCCTTATCATGGGTATCGTAGAGACTGAACGCTTCCTTGTAGTGATCCAGCTCCTCCCTGGTGAAGTGCTGCCTCTCCATTCTCAACTGAAACGGATACACATACTGAGACTTCCAATTTGTGCAGAAAAGGTAGGATTTGACTTACAGGATAGGATGGAGTTTACCACCTGCTACCTCCGAGTGTCTCTAAATACTACTCTAGTAAGTGTCTCTAAATACTGCCTACTAAAAGTGGTTTGCATTTAAATAGACACTGTCAAAGACTGCATTTGCCGATGAAGTACTGCAACTGCAACCTATAATAACCCATGTGCTAATGGTGCAGACAGTACCACAGTGGCTTTATATTGTAGATAACTATCATCATGTATTATGTAAAGGAATGACGGTAAATGTCATAAAGGTGTTCAAACGAGAAGCTACAAAATACGCTAATCTTTTTCAGATGACAGGTGAAAACTGAAAGTTTTAGCCGTCATTAATTTTCACTGTGCGATCCTGTCATCATGATATCCATTACTTTCGGCTTTCCAGCTCAATTGTCAGTGTCTAGACAGATAGAAGGAAGGTGTAAACACCCGGACGGATCTATATATTTACATCGTCGTCATTTCCCGTATTCTGTTGTGCGATGGAGCGCTTTATTGCCGAGAGCGCGTATTCGTGGTCGACCATTGTAGCTTCGTCTGATTAACACGCTGTGTTTATAAAGGAGCACTGCTCAACTGGTCACATGTAATACGTTCCAGGAGATCTAGCGAGAAAACGTCAACTCAACTTCAACCGAACAGCAAATACCAGATGTTGTGAAGAACGGGACACGCAAAGAAAGCGATTTAATAATGAGTAGGTGAGCTGCAGTGCTAGCCAGACCGGCCCTGTCACGTGACCCCCTGACTCGTGTCCTGACAATACTACAATTCTTATACATGTGCTGACGGGACAATGGCACCAGTAGCAGGATCAATGATGAAAGAGTGAAAGACAGCCCGGCTGATTGGTCTTTTGTGTTTGCTTATTCCCACACGTCTCCCATGTAAGTCGCTTAATTCATCAACACAGAATAGTCGGGGTAAGTGTTACTCCTGTAGACCAACGACAATGCAGGATTTAGACGGAATTTTAGGATATGACAGTTTTACTGCCCAGTTGTTGTAGTGTTGCGAGACTAATGAGACTAATGTGTAGGGTTCAGACTGCTTCCAGCAGGGGCGCCAGGCATGAGCATCGTCTCAAATAGATCTCTTAGTCTAGTAGACACGAACAAGCTTAATAAAAACGTCCACTTAAGCGCGGACAACAACTCTCGGGATAAACCGGAGCACTGGGATGTGTGCTGAATAAAAATATTAGTCGAAGGTTTCGTTGAAAACTTGGTCAAAAATTGAAAAACTGGAAAGGTTTAAAATCTTCATCAGTTAAAATTTCTTACCGCTATTACTATTAATTCAAATTTGAAACCGAACCGGTTTTCAAGTTTCGCCCAAACTCTCTGCCAATCGTTTAAAAAAATTAAAAATTACTAATCAAGGTAATCAGCTGTTACAAGAGGCTACCTCCCTGAACTACTAATGCTGTTGTGTCAGTTGTCCCCCCCCCCCCCCCCACCCCACCCCCACCCCCACCCCTACTTCCACCTCCCACCTCCCATCCCCAGCTGTGCAGAGCACAGGCATCAAAAGGTCTTCACTATTAACTCCTGAAGTACACTAACATTAAAGTTGTCATTGAGAGACTTCCTTGAGGATTAAAATAAAATCCTTCCGTTACGAATTAACAAATAAACATTTCCTAATATAGTGCAGTTTTCCTTGTTGTTAAGTTTCCGTATCATACAACTGCAAGACATTAATTGGTGATAATTTAGAAAACTTCTGGGTATTCTATAAGGGTTAGAAGCACACCATGAGGTTGCACAGCACTACCCTCATCATCACGGAATTACCTCATTCTTAGAGCATTATATTCGGAACAACGAACAGGTCTTTGCAGACACTGCTGTCCCATATTCGGAGATCAAAGGGCACACAGCTCTACCTGACTAATACCTCAGTGGTTTCTTTACTGTCGGCTATCAAGGAGAGGATATCCCAAAGCGAATGTCTTTATGAAGGAGCAAAGCGACCGCTTCATACACAGCAGCCGCACTAAAGCAGGGCTACGAGTCGGCTGGAGACACAATACCAAAGAAGTTTAAGACATTAACTTGTTAGAGCAGTATAAGGTACCTACCAAAATGATCACTATTATTGTTATCAGTTTGTAAAAAACGATCGACGTGAAAATGTCTTACCTCTCGCATATAGTCGGAGTCGGCCATAGTGTTCCACAACTTCCTAGGAATCTTCCATGGGTTCAAAGAAAAGTTCATGGTTTACAAAAAAGGGGCACGATGTGATCACGTGGACAGTAAAAGCTATGTTATTACCAAGCCGGGCTATCAATACGCGATCAATACGCGATCTACTAACTCTCACTACTTATCAAAGTCTGCATAAAATCGTAAAATATGGGTTTAGGTTTATGACTCTCCCATAAATTGGGTGGTGAGAATTCTGGGTTTGGGCTAATAGGATATCTGTTGAATTACAGCAGATGATGATTATTATTCTCAAAATGAATTATGGAAATTGTTAACTCTCGCCCTTCTTTTCGTTGCCATGTCAATTGTGTCTGGCAATAAAGTCGTGGCGGACTGACTGCAGAGTGTTTTAATTTGTTTGTTTACACAGGACAATTGACTGTGTTTATCCCTGTCTGCCAGTTTGGAAACTCGCTGAACGTTTAATTTTTGGGTAAAATACCAGCGTTAAAAAGTAACATTTTTCTCGTGCCAGCCCTTTTTATCGATCTTAGACAAATGACGGACGGTAATTTCACCATTTAGCAGATAATTCCTCCGACTCAATCTCAGCTGATGGCTGGCAGCAAATATCCAAACTAAAGGCGATCATTACCACCGTGTTACAATTGGCATTCTGTGCCATCCAAGATAGCACAGGAACAATGCAAATTAATTTAGGCCTGCCGACCATTTAACTCGTGCCGCCTTGTTAAAGTTGCGTAATATTTAATATTATGTCTAATTAATATTAAGTTGAGATTCAATAAAATTTGCTCAAATCTTGAAAATATGAGCAAGTTTATTCACTAGACTATTCAATAAAAAATTAGAATTTTATTCAATAAGTCTGCTGAAAAGATGTGTCTCGCAGCGGGATGGTAAACAAAAGCAGGGTATATCTAAATGAGCAGTAAAGTGATGATATACAATATGGTAAGCCTGTAATTATAAGCTCAGCAAGACTCCCAGAGCGGCTGACAATGCTCAGCCACCACAATTTTACAGGCGGTTTGCTCATTACCGGCATAAAGGATCTACTGAAGAAGTAAAGAATATCTTTATGAAGGAGCAGTTGCTGCACGAATAGAATATCTATCAGCCATATCGGTTATATTGGAGATGGGTTCGTGCAGCAACTGCTCCTTCATAAAGTAAACAATTCAGTTAACGAGTAACGGCCAATTAGGGGGGATATAATTGGGAGATAATGGGAAGATAATGGGTATTTTATGTCACACGGCAGGTTCACGCAGTAATCACTAATCAATCATCCATCTCAGATCTAGATACAAACAATCTGGGGGATTTACTAATGAGTAGGTTGTGAGTATAACAGCAGTGCTACACAGGTACAATCCTGGTTCGTTCAAGGCTAATGGTATAGCTACCTATTTAAAGGACTTGGCTACTGTATATAATGCTTATTATGATCTCATAAACATGACAAAACCATTTCCGAACTTATTCAAACCACTTAAGTCCACTATTGTCAGGGCTACAAAAATACAGATAAAAGATTGGATCAATACAACGTTCTGGATAGCAGGTTAATATACGGGAGTAATGCTGAAATCAGGTACAAAATGTAAATTTTAAGGGCTTCTATTGTGTGCAAGTAATCAATGATCTGTCAGAATAATTGACAGATACAAAAGCAATGGTTGGCATGACTACTGCATGCTAATTTCCAATAGGACGCGGTCTATATTTGCCTGTATTGACCAAGTGCTCACTACTTTAAACAGTAAACAATCTGTGTTAGGAGGTGAGAGTAGCTAATTACATGAACATCTCAACACCACGTGACTGAACACTCCGCAAGCAATCCTCTCTCTAACTCAACTCAAGTTGAAACAAATGGACCGGTGACTGTTTCGAGTCACCTTGTAAAACTGAAACTGTAATAGATTTTATATTTCCTTCTTGACTCGAGATGACTAATGCACTATCAAAAACAAACTAGTTTTACTGCCTTGCAATATTCACATGACAGCTGAAAGAAAGGTAAATTCTGACAGATGAATGAAAGATCTATTGTTGAAATGATAAGCATTGTGTATAAGATACTGGTATCTATTATAGCAGCTGACTAGTGCGTATAGGATACTGGTATCTATTATAGCAGCTAGCTAGTGCTATCTATTATAGCAGCTGACTAGTGCTATCTATTATAGCAGCTGACTAGTGCTATCTATTATAGCAGCTGACTAGTGCTATCTATTATAGCAGCTGACTAGTGCTATCTATTATAGCAGCTAGCTAGTGCTATCTATTATAGCAGCTGACTAGTGCTATCTATTATAGCAGCTGACTAGTGCTATCTATTATAGCAGCTGACTAGTGCTATCTATTATAGCAGCTGACTAGTGCTATCTATTATAGCAGCTGACTAGTGCTATCTATTATAGCAGCTGACTAGTGCTATCTATTATAGCAGCTGACTAGTGCTATCTATTATAGCAGCTGACTAGTGCTATCTATTATAGCAGCTGACTAGTGCTATCTATTATAGCAGCTGACTAGTGCTATCTATTATAGCAGCTGACTAGTGCTATCTATTATAGCAGCTGACTAGTGCTATCTATTATAGCAGCTGACTAGTGCTATCTATTATAGCAGCTGACTAGTGCTATCTATTATAGCAGCTGACTAGTGCTATCTATTATAGCAGCTGACTAGTGCTATCTATTATAGCAGCTGACTAGTGCTATCTATTATAGCAGCTGGCTAGTGCTATCTATTATAGCAGCTGACTAGTGCTATCTATTATAGCAGCTGGCTAGTGCTATCTATTATAGCAGCTGACTAGTGCTATCTATTATAGCAGCTGACTAGTGCTATCTATTATAGCAGCTGACTAGTGCTATCTATTATAGCAGCTGACTAGTGCTATCTATTATAGCAGCTGACTAGTGCTATCTATTATAGCAGCTGACTAGTGCTATCTATTATAGCAGCTGACTAGTGCTATCTATTATAGCAGCTAGCTAGTGCTATCTATTATAGCAGCTGACTAGTGCTATCTATTATAGCAGCTGACTAGTGCTATCTATTATAGCAGCTGGCTAGTGCTATCTATTATAGCAGCTGACTAGTGCTATCTATTATAGCAGCTGACTAGTGCTATCTATTATAGCAGCTGACTAGTGCTATCTATTATAGCAGCTGACTAGTGCTATCTATTATAGCAGCTGACTAGTGCTATCTATTATAGCAGCTGACTAGTGCTATCTATTATAGCAGCTGACTAGTGCTATCTATTATAGCAGCTGACTAGTGCTATCTATTATAGCAGCTGACTAGTGCTATCTATTATAGCAGCTGACTAGTGCTATCTATTATAGCAGCTGACTAGTGCTATCTATTATAGCAGCTGACTAGTGCTATCTATTATAGCAGCTGACTAGTGCTATCTATTATAGCAGCTGACTAGTGCTATCTATTATAGCAGCTGACTAGTGCTATCTATTATAGCAGCTGACTAGTG